CCTATTGAAGACTATTGGTGTCCTTCATTCTTTTTCCTCCATAACTGGGTTTCAAAACACAATTTAATGGGGTTGTGTCGCTATGCAGGATAAACAGCTTCTCTTGAAATTTAACTTTACATTTTTTTCTTTATTATGGTGAAAGTCACATAACATAAAATTAACCACTTTGAAGTGGTTATTTCGTACATTCACAATGTGCAACCACCACTTCTATTTAATTTCATAGCATTTCAACGCAGCTGTAAGGTTTGACACTTAGATGTTGTGTTCCTGAGTAATAGTCTTTATGACTCATGCGTTGGTCACGCCAACCTCCCCATCTTTAAAAATTCTGTGATTTATTCTGAGACTAGACTTTTGCATGTACCTTTTTACAGTTGCACTGCCTGGCCTGTGACAGACAACCTAAACAGGTGCTACATCAGACCAGAGTAATTTTAAGTTAAATTTAAGGTTCCAAATAAATGCTAAAATCCAGCCATTTGGAGATAATGCAAAGCAAATAACTTGATTGATGTGAAAATTGCATTCACTTCTTTCCCACAATGCTAAATTCTCACATACATTAAGTTCCCACTACTGACTGCTTCGAGTTTTTCTTTTGGATTTAATGAGAAGATCTGATTCCAGTAATACTGTCATTAAAATAATTCCTTTATAATGAAGAAATAACATGTGTATTAGTGCCAATTGATTTCAGGTTTTATCTTCTCTAGTCTAGGATTCAAACTCCAAGTACTTGGGAATCAGGAAGGCTACCTTATGTAGGACCAGTGGAGGCCTGTGGAAACTGACAAGTACACATCTGCCAAATGACATTTATATGTATTCTTCGAGAAAATTACAGTCAGTTAGATCTTCTAGAACCTTCTTTATCTAGTGTCTGCTTAACTTGTCATAAATATTGATAAAACCTCATGTAATAATTATGTTTCTATGAATCTTCATTTCTTACAGTTTTGTTAGGTCATTTTCTCAGGCACACCAAATTCTATTGCAATTATGTCTGTTATCTATGTGAGATCACCGTTAATCTGTCGGGTGTCTTTCCTCTCATCTTTTTCTTTGGCACCTTTTACAATTTCCTCTCTTATCTTCCTTTTCCCTTTTTCCATCTCTAGTCCTCACTGTTTGTTCTGCAGCTTTCACGCTGGAGTTGGACAATCCTGCATCCCCAGTACTCCAGAATATGAACTCTCCATCTCTGTTTTAAATATAGGAAAGCCCAGTCTAAAATAACACGTCTTCTCTTTTCTCTTTTTCTCATTTCACATACTTTCTTCTCTCTCAACATTTCATTTTGTTTAAAATATATTTCTTCAGTATATGACAGATGACTGTTGTCAACAGACCTATTGGAATTTGAAATTCGGTCATTCACAAATTTTACCAGTTATGTTAGGTGCCATCAAATCAGTTCTGACTCACATTTACTCTGTGTGCAACACAACGAAACCCTGTTCGAGTCTGTGAGGATGTTTGTTTCCTGTACATTACATTGTCTGCAGTCCTTCATCTTTGTCAGCAAGTGCTTCAAGTCGTCCGCACTTTTGGTGTTGTTTTTCATCTCGTCCAACTTCTCTGGTCATTTGCTCAGCATACAGATGAATTAGTCTGATGAGCGGATACAACCCTGATACACACCATTCTTGACTTTAAACCATGCAGTATTCCTTTCTTCCATTTAAAGGGCTGCCTATTGATCCTTGTACAGGTCCTCCATGAGCACAATGAAGTGTTCTGTAATTCTCATTCTTCTCAAAATTATGCATTGTTTGTCCTGATCCACATAGTTGAATGCCTTTGCACAGTCGATAAAACACAAGTAAACTTCTTTCTGGTATTCTCTGCTTTGAGCCAAGATCAATCTGATGTCAGCACTGATATCCCTTGTACCTTGTTTTTTTCTGAATATGGCCTGAATTTCTGACAGCTCCCTGTTGATGTAATGCTGCAACCTTTGTTGAATGATCCTCAGCAAAATTTTGCTTGCATGTTATATTAATTATATTCAATAATTTCCACATTCTTTAAGGTCCCCTTTCTTTGGAATCGGTCCAAATATGGATCTCTTCAGACAAGTAGCTGTCTTCCACATATCTTGCCATAGGTGACTGAGTATTTCCAGTGCTTTATCAGCTTATTGAAACATTTCCATTGGTTTTTTGTCCGTTCCTGGAGCCTTATTTATTAGCACAAACACATTCATTTGTTAATCAAAGGGATGATTCTAATCAAATCAACACTTTGAAATAGCTGTATGTAAAAATGTGTATGATATACCATTGTGAATGAGGGGGAGTGCAGAGTGAAGACCCAAGGCCCATCTGTAGGCAACTGGCAATCCCCTTACAGAAGTGTCACGGGGAGGAGATCAGCCAGTCAGGATGCAGTATAGCACCGATGAAACATACAACTTTCCTCTAGTTCTTTAATGCTTCCTGCTCCCCTGCCCCCACTATCATGATCCCAATTCTACCTTAAAAATCCAGCTAGACCTGAGCATGTACACGGGTACAGATAAGAGCTAGAAACAAGGGAATCCAGGATAGATAAACCCCTCAGGACCAATAATGAGAGTAGCAATACCAGGAGGGGAAGGGGAAGGTGGGGGAGAAAGAGGGAACCGATCAGAAGTACCTACATATAATCCCCTCCCTGGGGGACAGACAACAGAAAAGTGGGTCAAGGGAAGCATCAGACAGTGTAAAACATGAAAAAATAATAATTTATAAATTATCAAGGGGGAGGGAGGGAGGGCAAAAATTAGGAGGTAATACCAAGGGCTCAGGTAGAAAGAAAGTGTTTTGAGAATGATGATGGCAAAAAATGTACAAATGTGCTTGACACAATGGATGTATGTACGAGCCCTCAAATGATTTTTAAAAACATGTATGATAGAAGTAATTGAATATAATCACACAAAAAAGCAATACAGAGATTTTGCTCATTGAACTGAGCTTGTTCTTTCTCACAGCTAATCCTTGGCCAAATGATGATAGAATTTTTATTTTACTTTTTTCATAGGTCCGAGTACAGGTGACATTGTTCATAACACAGTCCTTCGCTAGTTTTCCACCTTCCAATTTTTTGTTATTCTGTTCTCCTTCCCATCCCACTCCTGAGCTTGGACCCAAACACCATCTATAAAGTTGCAGACAGTCTGAGTTTTCTGCCGTCAGCTGTAGTTTCTTCCAACTGTTCTCCCAGGTTACAAGAAAACTGTGTGATTTCCAAAGTGCTCTCCGTTTTCACGGTGAGGGTTGTGCATCAGGAGAGATGCAGGTTTGACCATGGCACGCATTTTTCACAGAGCCATTCCCACTCCTAGTTCCTTCATGCTTGCATCAAAGTCTTTGCTGTCTCCCAGGTGCCATCTTCCTACGAGCTGCTGAATTGTGGCCATGGTGGGCGAGGACAAGCGGGCGTGCAGATAAGGAAGAGAAAAGCCTGGCGGGAGAACATGGTGTGTGGTGCTGGAGCCTTAGTTTTGCTAATGCCTTTAGTGCAGCTTGGGTTTCTTTCTTGAATACCATCAGCTCTTGATCATATGCTACCTCTTGAAGTGGGCAGATGTCAACTAGACCTTTTGGTACAGTGACCTGTATTCTGTATTCCTTCCATCTTCTCTTGATGCTTCCTAAATGGTTCAATGTTTTGCCCATAAAATCATTCAATATTGCAACCCAGGAATTCAGGTTTTTCTTCTGTTCTTTCAGCTTGAGAAATGCTGAGTGTGTTCATTATTTTTGAGTTTCTAACTCAAGGTCTTTGCACATTTCATTATAATATCGAGTCTACTCATGCTGTTTTTTGCAATTTTAAGTTCAGCTGTTACTTCATCATTTCTTCTATTCGCCTTAACTACTCTACAAGTAAGAGGGCATTTCAGAGTCTCTTCTGATACTACCTTTCTATTTTCTTTCTTTCCTGTCTTTTTAATGACCTTTTTTTTTCATGTATGATGTTCTTGATGTTATCCCTCAGGTTTTCCGTCATTAGTTTTACGTATGTCAAATCTATCTGAGCTTTTCTTGAGATTCAGGTGGGAGAGACTCAAGGTCAGATTTTGACTTTTATGGATTTGTTTTCATTTTCTTCAGCCTCCAACTGAACTTATGTATGAGCAACTGATGGTCTGTTGCACAATCAGGCCTTGGTCTTGTGTTCACAGCTAATATTGAGCTTCTTCATCATCTCTTCCCCAAGATGTAGTCAACTTGATTTCTGTGTATTCCACCTCAAGAAGTCCATGGATGTAGTTGATTTTTTCAATAATTTGTACCAATAGTGTTCAGTCTTTAAAGGTGGTGGTGGTGGTGGTGGTGGTGGGGAACTATGCATATTCTTTACACAGTGTATTACTCAGTTACAAAAAAAGGTCTCAGCTCTAAATAGTTAATCCAGTGGACTATGAATCATATGAACACCAGTCTTCAAGACCTTGAGACAAGAACTTTGTGGTTCTTCACTACCACTGCCAACTGCTCTGAAAGGGGCTCACATTTTAACAGGTTCTAGATAGAGTGGGAGAAAAATGTGGAACAGAATTCAAAATGATAAAAGAGACCAGGCTTACTGGTTGGATAGAACCTGGTGGAATACCTTAGTCACCTTCAGGTCTGCAACTCAACTCATTTTTCAGCCAAGCAACAGACAGGTCGAAAGGGGGAACAATACTATTTCGGTAGATATAAACTCCTTAGAATAACCTGCCATTTGAGATTAAAAAAAGGCAGCATTTATCCAAGAGAAAAGTTTAGAAAGTTAAGAAAAGTAAGAGTTGAGAAAAAAACAGGAATAAGGCAGTGGCCAGGCAACCCAGTTTTGAGAAAGCCCTCAGTGCCCCAAGTCCTCAGGCATTTAGCAGCGCTCTCCCCACAGCCATGATACCCAAAAGGAAGGTCAGCTTGGCTGAACGGGGGGAGGTGAAGGAGGAGGTCAGCGAGGTGGCCAGCGAAACCTGTGCCTGCAAAAGTGGAGGCAGAGAGACAAAGATGCTGTGCAATCTACAAGCTCTGCGTCAAATTGCCCAAAGGACCATCAGTACTGCTTCACGCAGACAGTTTGAAAATAAAGTTTCAGAGAAACAGAAGCTATTTCAGGAGAACAATGGGATTCCAGTGCATCTAAAGGATGGAGCAGCTGATGCCCTACTGTATAGAGCGACCATGGTTCCGACAATCGGAGGAACAGCGTATGCCATACATCAGCTGGCTAGGGCTTCATTTCCCAAGAAGCAGGGTTGACTTCAGTTTATCCTTCCAGCAGTAGGTTCTGTTTAACTCAGTGCTCTATGGACCAGTAAATAAATAACAACTCTTCTTTGGGGATCAATATTTATTGACTTGTACTAACTGCCACCAATAAAGC